CTCTCTCTCTCTCTAGGCTTTGATTAATTGAATTTGTTTCTGCTAGAAAGAATAAGGTTCAAGTAATCTTGAAAATTAGGGCTTGAACAGATTATAAATTTGCAGGAGCTCAAATGGAGCCATTCTAAATCCAAGTCAGGAGAGCGAAAATCGATGCACTCCAATGAATGTTCCAATGATTCCAGACTTGGGATTCCATTGGGCTCATGCTATTACAGATCAAAGTTTCACTGGTGAATCTGCTGCAAGGATCAAGGAACAATTCTTTAATAATATTTACCCTAATAGATATACTGAAATCTTGAACAGCTCACGATTAAGAGATTTGCCGTTGAATGATCTCAATGCAAAACTCTTGCTTAGAACTTCTGTTTCTGGGAATCTTACCAGTGGGATTCAGCTTTCTTCGGGAGATCTATTATCAAACTCTCCAATTACAGGAAGTGGAAGGGGCTTCAACCGGATATTACCTGGTGTAAATGTTTCGAATTTGAATCTATCTGCATCTTTAGCGAATTCAAGCTCTTCGGATATGAACTTGGAGGCGCTGGATGTTCTTACATCTTCAAGATTTAGTGGGAAGTTTAGCCCGTATTCGCAAAATGAACAAGGCCTATTTAAAGACGATCTTTCTTATTATGGCTTTGATTATACGCAGCGATCAAATAAAATGCCATTTCATAGCATAAATAAAGTAAGCACATGCAATTTGTTTCTTTTCTGTCATCTTCTTCTCCAACCTCCTGTCTAAAGTTGAAATAATTTTTTTGCTTTCACAGATATATTTCTCAAAAGGCCTTTTTAGCATATGGCATTTTTTATTTTTTATATTTGCAGAAAGTAGGCAGTTCTGATATTATATCATCTTAATTTCATGTGGTGAGATAGCTTATGCATGTTGATCTACGGGGAGACACATGTTATTTTTCTAATTATAATTTTAATACTCTTCTCACATGCAAGCACGATTCTTTTTAATCAAAATTCAACACGATTTTCACAAAAAGATGGCAGCAAGACATGATCAGACTTCTGCATATTATGTTAAATCATTTTGTCTAAAAATTTAAATTAATAACACAATGCATTTATCTGAATGTGGATCACAGTTCTCAGAACTATAAAAATATGCGCTCAAACTACCCCTTTCTACATGTGATTTATACAAAGTTTTAGTAAGCGATTTCATTGATATATATGGATCCACTTTTCTATTTTTCTGTGGAGATGAAAAATTTGTACATTACTTTTAATTTTTTCTTATATGTCATTCGAAAGACACTTTCTTTTCCGCTTTTCAATTATATTTTCACTAAAAGTGAACTCCTCTTTTTCATTTTGACATGATTGTTATCATAATTATTCAGCTAAACTTTAGTCTTTGAATTTGAAGGTGTCAGCCTTAAGCAATGGAGCAGCACTAGCAAAAAGCACCACCACTATAAAGGAGGGAAAGGAAGTTGAAACAGTAAAACCTCGATTAGATTCACGCGCCGCCTGCTCACCACCCTTTAAGGTATGTTTAATAAAAGAAATCAAGAATTGTGCATTAACCAATCAGACAAAGCTTAATAAATTTTCAATTTTTCACATTTTCAGGTCAGAAAAGAGAAATTGGGTGATAGAATTTCAGCCCTTCAACAGTTAGTAGCTCCTTTTGGCAAGGTACATAAGCCTCTTTCCAAACCAGAAACTTGTGCATATTCAGTTCATCATTCCTAGCCTGACTCTCATCTTGCAGCCTTAAATTATGTCACTTCAAAGAGTTGTATGATGCTATAGACATTTTGTCTGTAAACACACAAACAAACGCACCCATATATTTGACACACACGGAATTTTTGGTAAAGTAAACTCAACGACAGTATCAGATTAAAGTATACTTTATCCAAAAAGTGAAAGTGGCTAAATATTATCCGTGATAACGTCAAGTAATTATTTACATATAAAAACATAGACTAAATATCATAGTGTC